ATCTGCTGCAGCTAAAGCGGCTGCCCAGTTTTGTGCTGGAAACCTGGGGCACTGGTGGTGTAGGCACCAGAGGGAATCTCCTGGTCTGCAGGTTGTGAAGACCGTGGGAAAAGCGCACTATCTGAGACAGTGCCAGAGTGTGATGGCTTCCCTTGGCTAGGAGAGGGAGATCGCTGGCCCCTTGGGCTTCCCGGGTGAGGTGACACCCGACCCTGCTTCAGTTAGCCCTCCTTGGGCTACCCCCACTGTCCAGCCAGTTCTAGTGAGATGAACCTGGTACCTCAGTTGGAAATACGGAGATCACTCGCCTTCTGCGTCACTCTCACTGGGTACTGCGGACTGGAGCTGTTCCTATTTGGCCGTCTTGGCAGAAGTCCCCCCTTGGCTTGGTAAATTTTTTGGTATGTGAATTATATCTGACTTCGAAGAAGAAGTGGGCCAGCACTTTCTTGAGCTCAGAGGAAGAATGAGCTCATTTTAGTCTCTGAACACAGGATATCCACCTTCCTACTTAGACCATTGTCTTAACCAGGGACGTCCTGTAGCTTCATAGATCTGGAGCTCTTGTTGCAGTGGGTACCATCTTGGGAGTCTGTTTATGGCGGAACCAGCTCAGCAAAACCTAGTTCACGCTCAGCTCTCTGGCATAATGAGAGTGTGGGTTTTACTTGGTCTTTGTTCCTTCTCTTCCCGAGAGATGCATTAATAAGCCTTGTTTCTTTTTTCTTTTTTTTTTTTTTTTAATGTTAAGTTACAAGATACATGCGCAGGACATCCAAGTTTGTTACATAGGTAAACATGTGCCATGGTGGTTTGCTGCACCTATCAACCCGTCACCTAGGTATTAAGCCCTGCATGCATTAGCTATTTATCCTAGTGTTCTCCTCCCTGCGTCCATGTGTTCCCGTTGTTCAGCTCCCACTTAGAAGTGAGAACATTCAGTGTTTGGTCTTCTGTTCTTGCCTTTGTTGGCTGAGGATAATGGCTTCCAGCTCCATCCATGTCCCTGCAAGGGACATGATCTCATTCCTTTTTATGGCTACATAGTATTCCGTGGTGCATATGTAGCACTTTTTTTTAATCCAGTCTATTGTTGATGGGCACTTGGGTTGAGTCCCTGTCTTTGCTTTTGTGAATAGTGCTGCAATGAACATATGCATGCATATATCTTTATAATACAGGTATTGATTGACTTACAACCTGTGCAACTTACGGCCATTTGACTTTACGACCACAGTCGCTAGCCATGACTGCTCTGCGTCTGGCAGCGCAAATGTTGCCCAGCTGGGCATACGACAGGAAGAGTAGAAATTAATGCCACTATTGAAGAACTCTAGATGCCAGGGTAGTCATCCTTATCATATCTCTACTTTTTTTTTTTTTTTTTGAGACGGAGTTTCCCTCTTGTTACCCAGGCTGGAGTGCAATGGCGCGATCTCTGCTCAACACAACCTCCGCCTCCTGGGTTCAGGCAATTCTCCTGCCTCAGCCTCCTCAGTAGCTGGGATTACAGGCACGCGCCACCATGCCCAGCTAATTTTTTGTCTTTTTAGTAGAGACGGGGTTTCACCATGTTGACCAGGATGGTCTCAATCTCTTGACCTCGTGATCCACCCTCTTCAGTCTCCCAAAGTGCTGTGATTACAGGCATGGGCGACCGCGCCCAGCAGTATCTCTACTTATTTTACCAGTCTGATCTCTGGAGAAAGTAGGTGAATCCTGAAGGTAAAATATTACTAAAAATTCAATCAATCATTTCACAGTACTGTACATATAGCCTACTCAACTTACCACCAAATCGTGTTACGACCGGTCTGTCAGAACAATCATAGTCGTAAGTCGAGCACTGGCTGTACAATGATTTATATTCCTTTGAGTATATAACCAGTAATAGGATTGCTGGGTCAAATGGTATTTCTGGCCGGGCACACTGGCTCACACCTGTAATCACAGCACTTTGGGAGGCCAAGGTGGGCAGATCACCTGAGGTCAGGAGTTCGAGACCAGCCTGGCCAACATGGTAAAACCCCATCTCTCTTAAAAATACAAAAATTAGCCCAGGTGTTGTGGCATGCACCTGTAGTCCTAGCTATTCAGGAGGCTGAAGCAGGAGAATCACTTAAACCTGGGAGACAGAGGCTGCAATGAGCCAAGATGAAGCCACTGCACTCCAGCCTGGGTGACAGAGTAAGACTCTGTCTTAAAAAAAAAAAAAAAAATGGCCGAGCGCGGTGGCTCAAGCCTGTAATCCCAGCACTTTGGGAGGCCGAGGCGGGTGGATCACGAGGTCAAGAGATCAAGACCATCCTGGTCAACCTGGTGAAACCCCGTCTCTACTAAAGATACAAAAAATTAGCTGGGCATGGTGGCACGTGCCTGTAATCCCAGCTACTCAGGAGGCTGAGGCAGGAGAATTGCTTGAACCCAGGAGGCGGAGGTTGTGGTGAGCCGAGATCGTGCCATTGCACTCCAGCCTGGATAACAAGAGCGAAACTCCGTCTAAAAAGAAATAAAAATAAAATAAAATAAATTCTTGTATTCACCAGGAATGTGGGGGAAAAAATCTGGTTCTTTGAGGAATCAACACACTGTCTTCTACAATGATTGAAGTAATTTACATTCCCAACAACAGTGTGAATGCATTCCTGTTTTTCCACAGCCTCGCCAACATCTGTTGTTTCTTGACTTTTTAATAATTGGCATTCTGACTGGTGTGAGATGGTGTCTCAATGTGGTTTTGATTTGCATTTCTCTAATGATTGGTGATGTTGAGCTTTTTTTTTAATATGTTTGTTGGCTGACATCTTCTTTTGAGAAGTAACTGTTCATGTCCTTTGCCTACTTTTTAATGGGTTTTTTTTTTTTTTCTTTTTCTTTTTTTTTTTTTTTGAGACGGAGTTTCACTCTTGTTACCCAGGCTGGAGTGCAATGGTGCAATCTCGGCTCACCGCAACCTCCGCCTCCTGGGCTCAGGCAATTCTCCTGCCTCAGCCTCCTAAGTAGCTGGGATTACAGGCACGCGCCACCACGCCCAGCTAGTTTTTTGTATTTTTAGTAGAGACGGGGTTTCACCATGTTGACCAGGATGGTCTCGATCTCTCGACCTCGTGATCCACCCGCCTCGGCCTCCCAAAGTGCTGGGATTACAGGCTTGAGCCACCGCGCCCGGCCTTTAATGGGTTTTTTCTTGTAAATTTGTTTAAGTTCCTTGTAGATTCTGATATTAGACCTTTGTCAGATGGATAGATTGCAGAAACTTTCTCCCATTCTGTAGGTTGTCTGTTCACTCTGATGATAGTTTCTTTCACTGTGCAGAAGCTCTTTAGTTAGATCCCATTGGCCAGTTTTTGCTTTTGTTGGAATTGCTTTTGACATTTTTGTCATGAAATCTTTGCCCATGCCTATGTCCTGAATAGTATTACCTAGATTTTCTTCTAGGGTTTTTATAGTTTTGGGTTTTACATTTAAGTCTTTATTCCATCTCAAGTTAATTTTTGTAGAAGAAAAGGGTCCAGTTTTAATTTTCTACATATGACTAGACAGTTCTCCCAGCACCATTTATTAACCCACAGCCAATTTCATACTGAATCGGCAAAAGCTGGCAGCATTTCCCTTGAAAACCAGCACAAGACAAGGATGCCCTCTTTCACCACTCCTATTCAACAGAGTATTGGAAGTTCTGACCAGGGTAATCAGGCAACAGAAAGAAATAAAGTGTATTGAAATAGGAAGAGAGGAAACCAAACTATCTTTGTTTGCAGATGAACATGATCCTTTGTATAGAAAACCCCATCATCTCAGCCCAAAAGTTTCTGAAGCTGACAAGCAACTTAAGCCTTGTTTTGATTTTGATTTAAACTCAGTGTGTTAGGTATGTGCATGTCATATGATAGTTGGAATGTACCTTCCCGCCAAACCTCATATTGGATTATGATCCCCAGTGTTGGAGATGGGGCCTAGTGGGAGGTATTTGAATCATGGGGGTGGATCCCTCACTTGCTTGGTGCTGTCCTCACAATAGTGAGTGAATTCTCACAAGACGTGACTATTGCAAAGTGTGGCACGTCCTTCAGTCCCAGTTTTCTCTCTCTTGCTCCTTCTCCCAGCATGTGAGACACCTGCTCCCCCTTCACCTTCTGCCATGATTGTAAGCGTCCTGAGGCCTCCGCAAAAGCAGATGCTAGCCTTCTGCTTCCTATATGGCCTTCAGAACCATGAACCAATTAAACAAATTTCTTTTCTTTTCTTTTCTTTTTTTTTTTGAGATAGTGTCTCGCTCTGTCACCCAGGCTGGAGTGCAGTGGCACAATCATGGCTCACTGCAACCTCTGCCTCCCAAGTTCAAGCAATTCTCCTGCCTCAGCCTCCTGAGGACTACAGGCACACACCACCACGCCCAGCTAATTTTTGTATTTTTAGTAGAGACGGGATTTGGCCATATTGGCCAGGCTGGTCTCCAACGCCTGACCTCGTGATCCACCCGCCTTGGCCTCCCAACATGCTGAGATTACAGGTGTGAGCCGCCGCGCCCGGCCTGGACCTCTTTTCTTTTCCTTTTCTTCCTTTTTTTTTTCTTTTTTTGAGACAGAGTTTTGCTCTTGTTGCTCAGGCTGGAGTACAATGGCATGATCTCGGCTCACTGCAACCTCCTGTCTCCCAAGTTCAAGCAATCTCCTGTCTCAACCTACCAAGTAGCTAGGATTACAGGGGTGTGCCACCCCACCTGGCTACTTTTTATATTTTTAGTAGAGACAGGGTTTCACCATGCTGGCCAGGCTGGTCTTGAACTCCTGACCTCGTGATCTGTCCACCTTGGCCTCCCAAAGTGCTGGGATTACCAGCATGAGCCACTGCGCCCAACTGAAGTGAAGGGGTTTTAAAACAAAGCAAATTTCTTAAAGAAACAGGTGAATTAAATAGACAAACCTAGGCAGAAAGGAAAGAGAAGGAGTCCATAAGCCTCACACCCTGCACACCACAATGGATCCTGCAGAGCTTACCTTTGGCAGAGGAAGGTGGTTCTGTTGGTAACTGGCTGGGGGTCACAGAGGTTCCTGGGAAATCAGAGAATGAGAAAAATGCTCTGGTCGTGTGAGTCCTCAACAAATAATGAAACATCTCTGTAACCTAGTTTCCTCACCTGAAAAGTGAGTCTAAAGTAGCTTACATCAGTGGATTGCTGTGGATGTTTGAGGCCAGGCACGGGGCTCACACCTGTAATCCCAGCATTTTGGGAGGCAGAGGCAGGCAGATCACAAGGTCAGGAGTTGGAGACCATCCTGGCTAATATGGTGAAATCCCACCTCTACTAAAAATACAAAAATTAGCCAGGCACGCTGGCCTCTGTAGTCTCAGCTACTCTGGAGGCTGAGGCAGGAGAATCGCTTCAACCCAGGAGATGGAGGCTGCAGTGAGCAGAGATCATGCTATTGCATTCCAGCCTGGGCTGCAGAGCAAGACTTTGTCTCAAAAAAAAAAAAAAAAAAAAAAAAAAAAAAAAAAAAAAAAAAAGTCGAAGCCATCATTAGTAATAATGCATTGTATATTTCAAAATTCTTAAAAGAGTAAACATTCTTACTACAAAAAAAATTATAAGATGGTCGGATGCAGTGACTCATGCCTGTAATCCCAGCACTTTCAGAGGCAGGAGGATCAGTTGAGCCCAGGATTTCAAGACCAGTCTGGGCAACATGGTGAAACTCCATCTCTACAAAAAATACAAAAATAGCTGGGCATGATGGTGCACACCTGTAATCCCAGTTACTAGGGAGGCTGTGGTGGGAGGATCACGGAACCTGGGAGGCAGAGGTTGCAATGAACCAAGATCACACCACTGCACTCCATCCTCGGTGACCGAGACCCCATCCCCAAAAAAAGAAGAATTGATAAGTAGCTGAGGTGGATATGTCAGTTAGCTTGATATAATCATTCCACAGTGAATACATATATCAACATGTTACTTTGTGCCCTGTAAATGTATACAGTGATTTGCCCATTACAAATACAAATTTAAAAAACAAGAATGAAAGACTGATTCACTTTACAGTATGAATGAACCTTGAAAACGTTATGCTGAGTGAAAGAAACCGGTCACGAAAGACCATGTAGTGTATGACTCCATTGATATGAAATGCCCAGAGAAGGCAACTTTATACAAAGAGAAAACAGACAGGTGGTTACCTGGAGCTGGGAGTGGGAAGAGGAAGTGACCACAAACGAGAGCAAGATCTTTTTAGGGTGATGGAAGTTGCTAAAATTGGATTGTGGTGGTTACACAACTCCAAAAACTCTTGTTTTGTTCTGTTTTGTTTTTTTATTTTAAAACTTCTTAAAATGTATTGAATTGAGGCCAGGCACAGTGGCTCATGCCTGTAATCCCAGCACTTTGGGAGGCTGGGGCAGGCAGATCACCTGAGGTCAGGAGTTCAAGACCAGCCTGGCCAACATGGTGAAACCCCGTCTCTACTAAAAATACAAAAATTAGCTGAGTGTGGTGGCACACACCTGTAATCCCAGGTACTCGGGAGGCTGAGGCAGGAGAATCACTTGAACTTGGGAGGTGGAGCTTGCAGTGAGCTAAGATAGCACCACTGCACTCCAGCCTGGGTGACAGAGTGAGACTCCATGAAAAGAAGGAAAACCGGCCGGGCGCGGTGGCTCAAGCCTGTAATCCCAGCACTTTGGGAGGCCGAGGCTGGTGGATCACGAGGTCAAGAGATCAAGACCATCCCGGTCAACATGGTGAAACCCCGTCTCTACTAAAAATACAAAAAATTAGCTGGGCATGGTGGTGCGTGCCTGTAATCCCAGCTACTCAGGAGGCTGAGGCAGGAGAATTGCCTGAATCCAGGAGGCGGAGGTTGCGGTGAGCCGAGATCGCGCCATTGCACCCCAGCCTGGGTAACAAGAGCGAAACTCTGTCTCAAAAAAAAAAAAAAAAGAAAAGAAAAGAAAAAAAGGAAAACCTACATCCTCCCAGCTGCCTGCAGCCCGGGGCTTCTTGCCCTCTCATTTCCTTTGCACCTAGGGCCCCTCCCCTTGGAATGGCCATCAGGACCTAGAAAGGTTGAGGAAGAAAGGTTTGGTCTGCAACACCCCTACCTGTGACCACAAGCTCCAGGGGATCACTGGGGGCCGACCACAGGTATGGGGCCCTTCTGGAGAAGCTGTAGCACCGGTAGGTCCCACTGTGGGCGGCGGTCACCGTGGTGATGGGGAAGCTGGCCCGGTACCATCTCTCGGGATTCTTGTAGGGTCCAGGGTCTCCCTCCTTGTACAGAGCAAATTGGTCAAAGCCATATTTGGTCTGACACTGTAGGGTCACATCCCCTCCTGGGGATACTGCTGGGCCAGGCTGGGCTGAGAGCGAGGGCTTGGGAAAAACTCCTGGTAGAAAAGGAAGTCTGGTGTTAAAGGCCAGTATCTCAGCTGGGGCTGGGAGGTGCCCCTGCCTGCCTAAGCTGGGGAGCTTTATGGCTGTATCCCTCCCAGAGAGTGCACTCCCTTGCCCAAGCTCAGAGGGAGGTCAGATCATGAGTGGTTTACGGAGTGAGGCTGTGCCCACATCCTAGTGCCTGGTGCAAACCCTGGTTCTGCCTTTAGGGGCTTGTGGCCCTGGAGACCAATCTCCCTCTGTATCTGAGCCTCACTGCCTTGTTTTGTTAAAATGGGGATGATTGGGCCGGGTGCTGTGGCTCATGCCTATAATCCCAGCACTTTGGGAGGCCAAGGCGGGCAGATCACCTGAGGTCAGGAGTTTGAGACCAGCCTGACCAACATGAAGAAACCCCATCTCTCCTAAAAACACAAAATTAGCCAGGCGTGGTGGCACATGCCTGTAGTCCCAGCTAGTCAGGAGGCTGAGGCAGGAGAATCACTTGAACCTGGGAGTCAGAGTTTACAGTGATCTGAGATTGCGCCATTGCACTCCAGCCTGGGCAACAAGAGTGAAACTCTGTCTCAAAAAAAAAATAAATAAAGGCCGGGCGCAGTGGCTCAAACCTGTAATCCCAGCACTTTGGGAGGCCGAGGTGGGTGGCTCACAAGGTCGAGAGATCGAGACCAACCTGGTCAACATGGTGAAACCCCGTCTCTACTAAAAATACAAAAAATTAGCTGGGTATGGTGGTGCGTGCCTGTAATCCCAGCTGCTCAGGAGGCTGAGGCAGGAGAATTGCCTGAACCCAGGAGGTGGAGGTTGCGGTGAGCCGAGATCGCGCCATTGCACTCCAGCCTGGGTAACGAGCAAAACTCTGTCTCAAAAAAAATAAAAAATAAAAACAAATGAAACTAAGGCCCATGGCGTTAAATAATTTGTCCAACCCCAGATAACGATACTGCAGTGTACACTTGAAATTTGCTAAGAGGGTAGATGATAAGTGTTCTCACACCAAAAAAAAAAACTGTGGGAGGTGATGTATGTTGATGACCTTGATGGTGGTAACTATCACAGTGGATATGTATATCAAAACATCAAGTTGTAGCTGGGCGCAGTGGCTCAAGCCTATAATCCCACCACTTTGGGAGGCCGAGGCGGGTGGATCACAAGGTCAAGAAATCGAGACCATCTTGGTCAACAAGGTGAAACCCTGTCTCTCCTAAAAATACAAAAAATTAGCTGGGCATCGTGGTGCGTGCCTGTAATCCCAGCTGCTCAGGAGGCTGAGGCAGGAGAATTGCCTGAACCCAGGAGGCGGAGGTTGGGGTGAGCCGAGATCGCGCCATTGCACTCCAACCTGGGTAACAAGAGCGAAACTCCGTCTCAAAAAAAAAAAAAAAAAAAAATCAAGTTGTATACCTTGGATATATCCATTTTTGTTTTTCTTTTTTTTAAATACAGAGTCTCACTCTGTCAACCAGGTTGGAGTGCAGTGGCTTGATCACAGCTCCCTGCAGCCTCGACTTCCCTGGCTCAAGCTATCTTCCTGCCTCAGCCTCCTGGGTAGCTGAAATTATAGGTGCTTGCTACCATGCTCCACTAATTTTTAATTTTTTTGTAAAGATGGGGTCTCACTATGTTGCCTAGGCTGGTCTCGAACCCCTGAGCTCAAGTGATCCTCCCACCTCAGTCTCCCAAAGTGCTGGGATTACAAGTGTGAGCCACTGGTACCAGTGCTATCTTTACTTTTTAGTTGTAACAAATGTAAGATGTTAACATGAAGGGATCCCAGGTGAAATATTTCCATTCATATTATCTTTAGCAACTTTTCTGTCAGTCTAAAAATTAATCCAAAACAAAGGTTTTGCTGGTGGTGGTGGTAGTTGTTTTTGAGACAGAGTCTCATCCTGTCACCAAGGCTGGAGTGCAGTGGCGTGATCTCTGCAACCTCCTTCTCCCAGGTTCAAGCAATTCTCCTGTCTCAGCCTCCTAAGTAGCTGAGACTACAGGTGGCACTACCACACCCGGCTAATTTTTGTATTTTTAGTAGAAACGGAGTTTAACCATATTGGTCAGGCTGGTCTCAAACTCCTGACCTCAGGTGATCCACTCACCTTGGCCTCCCAAAGTGCTGGGATTACAGGTGTGAGCCACCGCACCTAGCCCTTTTTTTTTTTTTTTTTTTTTTTTTTTTTGAGACGGAGTTTCGCTCTTGTTACCCAGGCTGGAGTGCAATGGCGTGATCTCAGCTCACCGCAACCTCCGCCTCCTGGGTTCAAGCAATTCTCCTGCCTCAGCCTCCCGAGCAGCTGGGACTACAGGTGTGCGCCACCATGCCCAGCTAATTTTTGTATTTTTAGTAGAGACGGGGTTTCACCATGTTGACCAGGATGGTCTCGATCTCTTGACCTCGTGATCCACCCGCCTCGGCCTCCCAAAGTGCTGGGATTACAGGCGTGAGCCACCGTGCCCGGCCCCCCGCCTTTTTTTTTTTTAATGCCTTTTGTGAAAACTGTCAAGAGACCCCATCTTTACAAAAAAAAAAAAAAAAATCAGCTGGGCATGGTGGTGCAGAGTTATAGTCCCAGCTATTTGGAAGGCTGAGGCAGGAGGATCCCTTGAGCCCAGGAGGTAGAGGCTGCAGTGAGCAAAGATTGGCCACTGTACTCCAGTCTGGGTGACACAGCAAGGCGCTGTGTCCAAAAAATAAAATATTATTCACATTGATCCACAAATGTTGTGGCACCACCACCCGCTAGGCCAGGGCCTGGCTTGCCTCACCCTAATCCGGGCCTAATCCCTATTCTCAGTGTCCCCCCTTTTTTCTTTGAGATGGAGTTTCACTCTTGTTGCCCAGGCTGGAGTGCAATGGCGCAATCTCGGATCACTGTAAACTCTACCCCCTGGGTTCAAGCGATTCTCCTGCCTCAGCCTCCCGAGTAGCTGGGATTACAGGTGTGTGCCACCATGCCCGGCTAATTTTGTGTTTTTACTAGAGATGAGTTTCTCCATATTGGTCAGGCTGGTTTCGAACTCCCAGCCTCAGGTGACCCGCCCTCCTCGGCCTCCCAAAGTGCTGGGATTAGACACGTAAGCCACTGCACCCGGCCTAACGTCCCCCATATTTGTGCCCCGAACAGAGGCCCATACAGTCCCAGGCTCCAATCCCCTGTCCTTTACCAGTGGCAATGAGCTCCAACTGGTCGCTGGGCGGGGACCAGCGGCTTCCGTTCTGGTAGGAGCAGCGGTAACGTCCAGCGGCACTTTGCTTCATGGCCGGGATGAGGAGGACCGCCTGATCCCGGTAGCTGTTGGAACTCAGCTTCTCCAGGCGGTACAGGTCCACACCCGGAGGTCCCTGGCACCGGAGGGTCACTGCCTTCTCCAGGGGCACCAGGGAGCTGGGCACAGCCTGCAGGGAGGGCTTGGGGAGTGGTCCTGGAAGAGGAGGAGCAGGGCTGGGTCAGCCTCCCTGCAGACCTCACCTGGAACCCACTTCCCCCACCTGCTGGTGGATCCCACAGGAGGGAAGGACTCACCGCTCTGAGCTTGCGCATGCCCCAGACACAGCCCTGAGGAGAGAAGAGAGAGACCAGAGGCCAGGACTCACTTTTATAGACATTGCTGCCTGCTGGGCATAGTGACAAGACATTTGCATGCGTGGGCTTTATTCTCTCCTAATCACTTATTTCTTCAAAAGACACACAGGCATGTAATTTCAGTGAGAGAAGCCAGTCAGAAAAAGCCACATAGTTTATGATGTCATTTACATGAAATATCCAGAAGGGGTAAATCTACAGAAGACAGAGAAGAAAATAGACACGCGGCTGGGGGTGGTCGGGAAAGCGAGGACGAGAAGTGACTGCTTGACGGGCGTGGGGTTTCCTCGGAGGTGCCGTAATGTTCTGCAGTTAGATAGAGGGTGGTGGTGCACAACACTGAATGTACCAAATGTCAGGTAAAGCAGACTGTCAGTTCTGTTCATTTCACCACAGTACAACTGTTTTAAGGCCAGGCACAGTGGCTCGCACCTGTAATCCCAGCACTTTGGGAGGCCAAGGAGGCCAAAGCGCCTAAGGTCGGGGGTTGGAGACCAGCCTGGGCAACATAGTGAGACCTGATTTCTACCATACACACACAAAAATCAGTAGCCAGTCATGGTGCTATGCGCCTGTGGTCCAAGCTACCTGGGGTGGCTGAGGTGGGAGGATTCCTTGAGCCCAGGAGGTCAAGCCTGCAGGGAGCCAAGATGGTGCCCACTGCACTCCAGCCTGGACAATGTTGTGAGGCCCCATCTCAAAAAGTAGATCATTTGAAGTCAAGCTGAGATTCCTTGTCCATCCTGTCTAGCTCCCACCATTGCCCCTTCCCTGCATATGTTTTTTTTTTTTTTTTACTATTTCTCTTGTTCCTTCTGGCATTGTTTTACATCTTCATGGTTCTAGAAAAAAGTATACATACTACTGTCTGTGGGTTCATTAGTGTTAGGCATTGCACACTGACTTCCTCAGTGGGTGTGAGGAATGTGACCTCAGACATTGCTGTCCCATCATCTCCTCCCTTCCGTCTCCCAGTATTAAACAATATCCAGCACATATGCAATAGGATGCAATTGTATAGACAAGTATTGCAAATAGTATTGCATATCGTGTATCACTGTATTTTATTTTATTGTATATGCAATATATGCAGTAGAACCCCACACTGGCCGGGCGCCATGGCTCACACCTGTAATCCTAGCACTTTGGGAGGCTGAGGCGGGTGGATCACAAGGTCAAGAGATCAAGACCATCCTGGCCAACACTGTCCTTCTCTACTAAAAAAAAAAATTAAAAAATTAGATGGGCATAGTAGCACGTACGTGTAGTCCCAGCTACTAGGGAGGCTGAGGCAGGAGAATCGCTTCAACCCAGGAGTCAGGGGTTGCGGTGAGCCAAGATCTCACCACTGCACTGCAGCCTGGCAACAGAGTGAGACTCTGTCTCAAATAATAGTTATAATAATAAATAAAACCCCACACTAATGGGATGTGTTAGTCCCCAGAATTCATCAAATGTATGATTGGGTCACTGGGAAAGTAATACTTTTCCCTTGTCTGTATGATTACAAAATGTACAGCAGCAATACTTAGAGTAACAAAGATGTGGAGTCAGCCTAGCTGCCCATGAGCAGTGGACTGGATAAAGAAAACTTGGTGGGGTGCCCGGCCCGCAGAGCCGCAGCTGGGACTGAGGCCAATGTGAATTCGAAGGCCTAGCCTAGGCGTCCCCAGACTTTTTACACAGGGGGCCAGTTCACTGTCCCTCAGACCGTTGGAGGGCCCCCACATACTGTGCTCCTCTCACTGACCACCAATGAAAGAGGTGCCCCTTCCTGAAGTGCGGTGGGGGGCCGGATAAACGGCCTCAGGGGGCCGTAGTTTGGGGACGCCTGGCCTATCCTGTCGCCAGTGCCCACCTCACCAAGAAACTACTAGACCTCGTTCAGCAGTCATGCAACTGTGAGCAGCTTTGGAAAGGGGCAGTGAGGCCACCAAAACCCCCCACAGGGGCATCTCTGTGTTCACTGTGATGGCCGCAGGCGCCGAGCCACTGGACGTCATTCTGTACCTCCCACTGCTGTGTAGAGACAAGACCATGCCCTACGTGTTTCTGTGCTCCGAGCAGGCCCTGGGGAGAGCCTGTGGGGTCTGCAGGCCTGTCATCGCCTGTTCTGTCACCACCAAAGAAGGCTCACAGCTGAAACAGTAGATCCAGTCCATTCAGCAGTCCATCGAAAGGCTCTTAGTGTGAACCTATGGCCTCTGCCACCTGCTCCCTGCCAACTTCTCCCGAGGTTGTGTATCATAGTGTTCGTGTTAGCACGTAGTGTCTTCACCTACTCTCTATTGTTATAAAGTGCTGTAGTACTAAAAAAAGAAAGAAAAAATAACTTGGTATGTATACACTGTGGAATATTACACAGCCATAAAAATGAATGAGATCACGTCCTTTGCAGGAACATGGATGGAGCTAGGATAATGGCCTCCAGCTCCATCCACGTTCTGTTCCCACAGGAATGGAAAACCAAATACTGCATGTTCTCACTTAAAAGTGGGAGCTGAACACCGAGAACACATGGACACATAGATAGACAATAGGCAGGGCCCTCCTTGAGGGTAGAGGGTGGGAGGAGGGAGAGGAGCAAGAAGCTGCCTATCAGGAGGTGGGGTGCGGTGGCTCACGCCTGTAATCCCAGCACTTTGGGAGGCTGAGGCAGGCAGATCACCTGAGGTCAGGAGTTCAAGACCAGCCTGGCCAACATGGTGAAACCCCGTCTCTACTAAAAATAAAAAAAATTGGCCTGATGAGATGGATTCTGTAATCTCAGCTACTTCGGAGGCTGAGGCAGGAGAATCATCCAAACCAGAAGGCAGAGATTGCAGTAAGCCAACTTTGCACCACTGCACTTCAGCCTGGGCAAAGGAGCAAGACTCCATCTCAAAAAAAAAAAAAAAGAAAAAAAAAAAGGCATTGCCTGTCAGGTACTACACTCACTACCTAGCTGGTGAAATAATGTGTATGCCAAACGCTTGGACATGCAATTTACCCACATTAACAAACTGGTACATGTGCCCCTGAATCTGTAAGAAAGATTAGGGGCCGGGCGCAGTGGCTCACACCTGTAATCCCAGCACTTTGGGAGGCCGAGACGTCAGGAGTTCCAGACCAGCCTAACTAACATGGTGAAAACCCGTCTCTACTAAAAATACAAAAATTAGCTGGGTGTAGTGGAGGGTGCCTGTAATCCCAGCTACTCGGGAGGCTGTGGCAGGAGAATCACTTGAACCCAGGAGGCAGAGGTTGCAGTGAGCCAACCTCACACCATTGCACTCCAACCTGGGCAACAGATCAAGATTTTGTGTCAAAAAAGAATAAATGAGTGTGGAATACTACTCAGCTGTTAAAAGGAATGAAATAATGTCTTTTGCAGCAAATTGCATGGAGCTAGACAGTATTATTCTAAGTGAAGTAATGCAGGAGTGGAAAACCAAAATCTGTACATTCTCACTTATCAGTGGGAGCTAAGCTGTGGGTATGCAAAGGCATACAGAGTGTTGTGATGGACTTTAGAGACTCAGAAGGAAAAGGGCGGATGGGGGGCCATGGATAAAAAACTACACAGTAGGTACAGTGTACACTACTCAGGTGACAGGTGCACTAACATCTGAGAATTCACTATATAATTCAATCCATGTAACCAAAACCACTTGTATTCCAAAAGCTATTGAAGCAGAAATGAAACCAGACACAGTGGCTCACATCTGTAACCCCAACGCTTTGGGAGGCAGAGGTGGGTGGATCGCTTGAGCCCAGGAGTTCAAGACCAGCCTGGGCAACATAGCGAGACCTCGTAACTACGAAAATTAGCCAGGCATGATGGTGTGCAGCTGGAGTTCAGGAGATGGAGGGGGGGGGAATTGCTTGAGCCTGGGAGGTTGAGGTTGCGGTAAACCGTGATCATGCCACTGCACTCCAGCCTTGGTGACAAAAGTGAGACCCTGTGTCAAATAAAATTAAATAAAAATTAAAAGAATAATACATCCGTGTATGAATAATGAATGAGAGGTTGTTTATAGTCACAGTTTACCCTCTCATCTCCAGTTACACAACCCTCTCCTTCTTGCTTAGCCTCTTGGAGACACTGTCCCGTTAGTGGTCAAATTCTCCTGAAGAAATAAGGCAATAATGCATTCAATGTGCCTAATTTTAGTAGTTCCGGGGTCTCGCTATGTTGCCCAGGCTGGTCTCGAACTCCAGGGCTCAAGCGATCCACCCACCTCTGCCTCCCAAAGTATTGGGGTTACAGGTGTGAGCCACTGTGTCTGGCTTACACAGTGAGGAACAGGCAGCAGAAATGCATCTGACCCATCACCCATCCTTCAAGAGACTCTTACTCCACTACTGTAGGGAATACTGACAAATTCAGCCCATAACCTTGTCCTGATATCAAGTGCACTTTTTTTTTATTTTATTTTTTATTTTTATTTTTTGAAACCGAGTTTCACTCTTGTTGCCCAGGCTGGAGTGCAATGGCGCATTCTCAGCTCACCAAAACATCCGCATCCCGGTTTCAAGTGATTCTCCTGCCTCAGCCTCTAGAGTAGCTAGGACCACAGGTATGCACCACCACGTCTGGCTAATTTTGTATTTTTAGTAGAAACAGGGTTTCTCCGTGTTGGTCAGGCTGGTCTTGAACTCCTGAGCTCAGATGATCCACCCACCTCACCCTCCCAAAGTGCTGGGATTACTGGTGACAGCCACCACGTCTGGCCTTTTTTTTTTTTTGAGACCAAGTCTCTTGTGCAGGCTGGAGTGCAGTGGCGTGATCTCAGCACACTGCAACTTCTGCCTCCCAAGTTCAAGTGATTCTCCTGCCTCAGCCTCCAGAGTAGCTGGGATAACAGGCACCTGCTATCATGCCTGGCTAATTTTTGTATTTTTGTACAGACAGGGTTTCCCCATGTTAACCAGGCTGGTCTCGAACTCCTGACCTCTGGTTATCCACCTGCCTCAGCCCCTCAAAATGTTGAAATTATAGGCATGAGCCACCATGCCCGGCCCACATTTTTTTAAAAAGGGGCAACTGCAGTGTAGTGGAACAAAGTTGTGACCAACACTAGGATACCTCTGTTCATTTACTGACCCAGCCACGAATAAACTGAAATAACGCAGACAAAACACGCCACCTTGCTGGCCCCTCATTTCCCCACCCAACAAATGAAGGGGCTCTCATAGGTCCTTTTTTTGTCCTGAAATTCATCACTGATAGAAATTCTTTTTTCGTTTTTCTTTTTGAGACGGAGTCTCGCTTTGTTGCCAGGCTGGAGTGCAGTGGCATGATCCTGGCTCACTACAACCTCTGCCTCCCGGGTTCAAGCGATTCTCCTGCCTCAGCCTCCCGAGTAGCTAGGACTGCAGGCCCACGCCACCACGCCCAGCTAATTTTTGTGTTTTTTATTAAAGATCGGGTTTCACCATGTTGGCCAGGATGGTCTTGATCTCTTGACCTTGTGATCGCCCACCTCAGCCTCCCAAAGTGCTGGGATTACGGGCATGAGCCACCGCGCCCAGCTGCAAATTCTTAAAAAAATCCTTTGTCTGGCAGTCCATGCCGACCCTTCAGCAGTTCCCAGATCCACCCTCAGGACTCACCAAGACAGAAGAGGGCGGTCAGGAATGGAGACATGGTTCCTCGGCCCTGTTCTGAGCTCTGTGGCCAGGGAGGGAAGTGGTGGGAGTCAGGGGCACAGGCTCAGGATGTGATGAGGACGAAGAATGCCCTCCTCCCTTCCTTCGCCAGCCCCAGCCTTTCCTAATTGAGACTCATCGAGCCGTAGCCGGCTCCTCAGTACAGTGACTTGCACACAAGCTCCAAGGAATCTCGCTTATCTCCGCCAGCCAGCCTGGCTCTGCACCGCCCGTCTGCCCACTGGGGCCTGGTCTGTGCTCCCAAGTTCCCGTAAAGTCCCTGGTGGTCGCTAGGAAAATGTGCATCCGAACCACAGTGAGATATGAGTTTACACCTTCTAGGATGGCTGTAATTTTTTAAATGGATAATAGCAAGCGTTGCTGAGTGTGCAGAGAAATTGGAATGTGCCTGCATTGCTGGTGGGGATGTGACATGGTGCTGCTGCAATGGAAAACAGTTTAGAAGCGCGTCCAAAAGTTAAACGTGGGGTTGCCATAAAAGTCCAGCAATTCCACTTCTGGGTATACACCTAAAAGGATTGAAAACAGGGTCTTGGGCCAGGCGTGGTGGCTCACATCTGTAATCCCAGCACTTTGGAAGGCCAAGGTGGGCAGATCGTCTGAGGTCAGGAGTTCCAGACCAGCCTGACCAACATGGTGAAATCCCGTCACTACTAAAAACACAAAATTAGCCAGGCATGGTGGCACGCGCCTGTAATCCCAGCTACTCTGGAGTCTGAGGCAGGAGAATCACTTGAACCTGGAAGGCAGAGGTTGCGGTGAGCCGAGACTGTACCATCGCACTCCAGCCTGGGCAACAAGATCGAAACTCCATCTCAAAAAAAAAAAAATATGGCCGGGCGCGGTGGCTCAAGCCTGTAATCCCAGCACTTTGGGAGGCCGAGGCGGGTGGATCACAAGGTCAAGAGATCGAGACCATCCTGGTCAACATGGTGAAACACCGTCTCTACTAAAAATACAAAAAAAATAGCTGGGCATGGTGGTGCGTGCCTGTAATCCCAGCTACTCAGGAGGCTGAGGCAGGAGAATTGCCTGAACCCAGGAGGCAGAGGTTGCGGTGAGCCGAGATCGCGCCATTGCACTCCAGCCTGGGTAACAAGAGCGAAACTCTGTCTCAAAAAAAAAAAAAAAAAAAAAAAAAAAAAAAAAAAATATTTTTTTGTAGAGATGGGTTTCACTGTGTTGCCCAGGCTGGTCTTGAACTCCTGGGCTCAAGCAGTCCACCTACCTCAGCCTCCCAAAGTGCTGTGATGACAGGTGTGAGCCACTGGGTCCTTTTTCTTTTAATTGCATTTTAGGTTTTGGGGTACATGTGAAGAACATGCAGGATTGTTGCATAGGTGCACACACGGCAGTGTGGTTTGCTGCCTTCCTCCCCGTCACCTATATCTGGCATTTCTCCCCCATGCTCTCTCTCCCCACCTCCCCACCCTCCGCTGTCCCTCCTCTATTTCCCCTCGACAGACCCCAGTGTGCCCAGTGTGTGACGCTCCCCTCCCTGTGTCCATGTGTTCTCATTGTTCAACACTTGCCTATGAGTGAGAACATGCGGTGTTTGATTTTCTGTTCTTGTGTCAGTTTGCTTAGAATGTTGGTTTCCAGGTTCATCCATGTCCCTACAAAGGACATGAACTCGTTTTTGATGGCATAATATTCCATGGTGTATATGTGCCACATTTTTCCTGTCCAGTCTATCATCGACGGGCATTTGGGTTGGTTCCAGGTCTTTGCTATTGTGAACAGTGCTGCAGTGAACATTCGTGTGCACGTGTCCTTGTAGTAGAATGATTGATAATCCTTTGGATATATACCCAGTAATGGGATTGCTGGGTCAGATGGAATTTCTATTTCTAGGTCCTTGAGGAATCGCCACACTGTCTTCCACAATGGTTGAACTAATTAATTTACACTCCCACCAACAGTGTAAAAGTGTTCCTATTTCTCCACATCCTCTCCAGCATCTGTTGTCTCCAGAGTTTTTAATGATCGCCATTCTAACTGGCGTGAGATAGTATCTCACTGTAGTTTTGATTTGCATTTCTTTTTTTTTTTTTTTTTTTTTGAGACGGAGTTTCGCTCTTGTTACCCAGGCTGGAGTGCAATGGCGCAATCTCGGCTCACCGCAACCTCTGCCTCCTGGGTTCAGGCAATTCTCCTGCCTCAGCCTCCTGAGTAGCTGGGATTACAGGCACGTGCCACCATGGGCAGCTAATTTTTTGCACTTTTAGTAGAGACGGGGTTTCACCATGTTGACCAGGATGGTCTCGATCTCTCGACCTCGTGATCCACCCGCCTCGGCCTCCCAAAGTGCTGGGATTACAGGCTTGAGCCACCACACCCGGCGCTGATTTGCATTTCTCTAAGGACCAGTGATGATGAGCATTTTTTCATGTTTGTTAGCCTCATGTATGTCTTCTTTTGTAAAGTGTCTGTTCATATCCTTTGCCCACTTTTGAATGGACTTTTTTTTTTTTTTTCTTGTAAATCTGTTTTAGTTCTTTGTAGATTCTGGATATTAGCCCTTTGTCAGATGGGTAGACTGCAAAAATTTTTTCCCATTCTATTAGTTGCCTATTCACTCTAATGACTGTTTCTTTTGCTGTGCAGAAGCTGTGGAGTTTGATTAGGTCCCATTTGTCTGTTTTGGCTTTTGTTGCCAATGCTTTTGGTGTTTTGGTCATGACGTCCTTGCCTATGCCTATATCCTGAATAGTTTTGCCTAGATTTTGTTCCAGGGTTTTTAGAAAAGACACATAAAAGAATCAAATGTGACAGTGAAGGTCAAGTCAGTCACTCAATGCCAGAAATTGGGGTGCTCCTGACATCTGGTGGGTTGAAGCCAGAACACTGTTCAGCATTCTGAAATCACAGGACGGCCCTGGTGACACGTGTAGGTCGGAAGGATGCACAGATGTTGGCATTTAGGAAGAATGTCATGACTTCTATAAGAGCAGCTTAGAGTGAGAAAATGATATTCTTAGGGCCTCTCCCGTGAGACTCCAAGCCAGCATTGCTGTGGCAGAAGCTGCCAGACTTTTCTCTTGAGAGAATCATATCAAGATGATGTAAATGTTGCCCTGGGGTGCCACTTGGGTGGTTTGGAGATGTGCTCAGACACCACACACCCTGAGGACTCAGCAGCCGCCAGCTGGACCCGTCTTTTGCCTTGCAGTTCACGGGCTGCGTTTATGCCCCTGGTTCCTTCACGGGCACCTTGGGGGCTTTGTTGCCTCTGAATCAATGCCAGGCAGGGTCTCACCGTGAAACTGTCTGCTCTGGTGATGCAGCAGACAGCTGTGGCTGATGACTCCCTCACCTCTGCCTCCCTCTCCCTCCCCCATTTCTGAAAGCACATCCATCACCAACCATAGGTTCCTGTTTGAGGTTTACTGGCAGGGGGGTTAAAAAAAAAAAAAAAAAAAAGGAAAGCTGGCTTTCTACTAAAAAGCACTTCCTTTGATCATTTATCAAACTCAACCCTAGGAGCGCCACACGTCACCATCTTCCATCCCAGGTAACTGGGTGTTTTTGGAGTGCTCAGGTGTATCAGGGACCCAGTCAGTTGCCATCGAATATATATATGGGGCCAGCCCCTGTGCCACCAAAGAGGGGGGAAGACGTTGAAAACATCTTACAGCTGGGAGCAGTGCCTCATGCATGTAATCCCAGCACTTTGTGAGGCCTCAGTGGGTGGATCACCTGGGGTCAGGAGTTCAAGACCAGCCTGGCCAACATGGTGAAACCCCGTCTCTACTAAAAATACAAAAATTAGCTGGGCGTGGTAGAGTACGCCTGCAGTCCCCGCTACTCGGGAGGCTGAGGCAGACTCACTTGTACCTATGAGGCAGAGGTTCCAGTGAGCTGAGATCGCGCCACTGCACTCCACCCTGGCCACAGAGCAAGACCCCCTCAAAAAAAAGAAAAAAAAGAAAACAAACAAACTACATGGGGCGGAAGGACACAGGATGCTGGAGAAAGGGGCTGGGTGCAAACATTAACCCTTTGATTGCTGGGTCCCTAGCAATAGCAGATGGAGTAGCTGTTTACCAACCGGCACGGGAACATGCCAGTACTGTACTCCAGGCTGCCTAAGCCCCACATGGCACCTGGTGTCAAGGCAGCTTGCAGTGCTGTGTGGGGCTTAGGCAGCCTGGCTGCAGTGTTTGTTTCAAAGTGCATGTCAGGAATGTGGAGCCCTGGACCCCTCCCAAGACCTAGAGAACCAGAATCTTACAGGTGTGACCCCCAGAATCTATCTATTTATTTTGAGGAGTCTCGCTCAGTTATTCAGGCTGGAGTGCAGTGGTGTGATCTTGGCTCATTGCAACCTCTGCCCCCTGGGTTCAAGCAATTTTGCCTCAGCTCACCTAGTAGCTGGTATTACAGGCATGCACCACCACGCCTGGCCAGTGTTCTGTACTTTTTAATCACAATTTTAAAAAGGAGAGTGCTTGGGTGAGTCCTACGCACATATTTAGAGAACCAGAGGCTTTGACATTACCCTCAGGGCCCCTCAGGTCTGATGGGCGTGTTTCTCTAGCTTGCTTTTCCATGTGTCCCAGTAACAGATACGTACTACACACACACTCTCTCCTGTTGGGGGCCTAGGGTAGTCTGATTCCCCACTCCTGGTATTCACTCCCTAGAGTGGTCCCCTCCTCTTCGGCTGAGCCTGTACCTTGCTCCCAAGCAAGAGCAGACAGCAAGCTCACGCACATAGTTGTTGGTGTGATTCAGTTTCTCCCAGTTGTTAGATGAGAGTCTCAGTTCCTCCCTGGCTACGCCACAGGACCGCCCACCATGGCAGCTGGCACCATCACAGCCAGCCATCCAGCGGGCGAGACAGAGAGCTGACAAGAGGGAGTTGTAGCATCACAGAGATCAGGTTTTCTTGCCGTTTTTGAGACGGAGTCTGGCTGTCGCCCAGGCTGGAATGCAGTGGCGCGATTGTGGCTTACTGCAACCTCTGCCCCCTGACTTCAAGTGATTCTCCTGCCTCAGCTGGGATTACAGGCATGCACCACCACACCCGGCTAATCTTTGTATTTTCACTAGAGTCAGCATTTCACCCTCTTGACCAGGCTAGTCTCGAACTCCAGACCTCAGGTGATCCGCCTGCCTCAGCCTCCCACAGTGCTGGGATTACAGGCATGAGCCACCATGCCCAGCCCTATTTCTATTGTTCTACAGCTTCACTAAGTCTTTCAGTTCCCCTCCAGTCCTCCCTTCCCCGGGCTGGTGCATCAGGGCCGGAATCGTTCTGCTGTGGGCTGGGCGGCTGTTCCGTGTATTAGAGAATATGGAGCAGCTTCCTTGGCCTCCCCAATCCCGAAGAAAAATATTGAAAAACGTTTTGTATCTCAATGACTGAGCTTTTCGGTGCCTCCTTCAGTTCTGCACCTAAGCCCAGAGCCCCTTGAGCTCACCCTGACCTCCGCCCAGTTTCTAACACAGCAGTCTTGAGATCCCCAGACTTAAGTGACTATTGCCTGTGAAAGGGGTAAAAGGAGTTTTCATCTCTGAAACGTCTGAACTTCTGCATGGCCTCTTGCCCTAGTGATAAGTTGATGTCTTGTGTCCCTAAAAGGAGTAAATCCATGAGTTGTCTTGGTTCAGCTCATGGACATTCCCCCACACAGAGGAGAAAACAAAACCTACAACTCTGCTGCTTTTTTTTTTTTTTTTTTTTTTTTTTTTTTTTTTTTTTTTAATGAGCAAGTTTGAGAGTCTGCAGTTTGGATGCATTACCATGAGAACTGACAGGAAGGTGGGAACCCCAGGCACTCCCGGGTCCTTGGCAGCAGCTGGTGGAGTTCCCAGTCCATTCCAGGCAGAGCTTGAACTCGGATGGCAGCTGCTCTCTGGCCGGGATCTGGCACAGGAAGCCCTCAGCAAGCACCTCTGGCAGGGGCTGTGCACAGCCACGCAACAGCTCACCACACCACATGGCATCACAGGAGGCGGCAGCTATTCTGAGCACCTCGCCACTGGAGAAACCAAGGCTCAAGAGAGGACCCCGCGTGCACAACGTCCTACAGGGACCCAGGAATCCAGCGAGTGTCAGACACCTTGCCCATGCTCTTCACGGAGCACCTTGAAGCCTGCCCCCAAGGGCACAGCTGACTCCCCTGACATCGCCCTCAAGCGTACAGAGACAGTTCCTCCTCAGCCGTACCCAGTTTAGGAAGTATCAGATGGCCCTGCTCCCCTGCTGGCAGCAGTGCACACGGGACCAGCCAGAGCCCAGGGCAGTGCCCACCTGCAGGCCGGGCAGCCGGCAGTCCTGGGTCTCCCGGCTCAGGCGGTGCCGACACCGCCCCCTAGAGGATGCTGTGGGCATGGAGGCCTGCGGTCCTCCGTCTCACCGCTCAGGTGATGCCAGGAAGCTGCGGGCGTGCTGGACAGCGGTCCCCGGTCTTGTGGCTCCATCCTGGCTTTCAAACGTCCTCCAGAGGTTATCTGGGAAGGGGTTGCTCCCTCACAGAGGACACATGGGACAAGCCCACCAGGCGGGCACTTTCAGCCCAGAGCCGCCGGGCTACCTCCTCATCCTCAGCCTCGGGGGCTGGGGCCTTCTGTTTGAGTCCATCAAAGTACTTTCCGGAAACATCCGCCAGTTCCTCCGCCACGGCCAGGTATGTACTGGGCTGGGCAGCCAGCTCGGGGCTCTTGACCAGCAGCCAGAAGATGGGCCCTGCAATCGACCCACAGGGCATTCAGCCCATACACACTCAGAAGTCAGGAAGCCCCACTCCCCCCGTCAGGGAGTTCCCGGCCCCTGGAGTCCCACAGCGCCCTCCTCCAGCCCTTTCCCCTTGGCTTCCTCCATCTGCAGTTCCCTTCCCTGGCACGGCCCAGGCAAATCCCTCCAGACCAGGGATCATACCAAAAGCTGCCTCCCCAAAAAGCCTTCCTGGCTTTGCGCAGGAAAATGAAAGCTCTCCTCCTTAGCCCCAGTAGTCACCCTACCTCATTTCTCCTTAAATAACTTCTTAAATGCATTTAGCACCAGCCCCAGGTTAATTTTTCTCTTTTTTTTCCGAGATGTGAAGTCTCTGTGTTGCCCAGGCTGGCATGCAGTGGCGTAATCTCAGCTCACTGTAACCTCCACTTCCCGGGTTCAAGCAATTCTCCTGCCTCAGCCTCCCAAATGGCTGCGACTTTAGATGCACACCACCATGCCCGGCTAATTTTAGTATTTTTAGTAGAGACAGGGTTTTACCATGTTGGCCAGGCTAGTCTTGAACTCCTGACCTGAGGTAATCCACCTGCCTTAACCTCTCAAAGTGCTAGGATTACAAGCATGAGCCACTGCACCCAGCCAGGTTAACATTCTTTTTTTTTTTTTTTGAGACGGAGTTTCACTCTTGTTACCCAGGCTGGAGTGCAATGGTGCGATCTCGGCTCACCGCAACCTCCGCCTCCTGGGTTCAGGCAATTCTCCTGTCTCAGCCTCCTGAGTAGCTGGGACTACAGGCACGCGCCACCATGCCCAGCTAATTTTTTGTATTTTTAGTAGAGACGGGGTTTCACCGTGTTGACCAGGATGGTCTCGATCTCTTGACCTCGTGATCCGCCCGCCTCGGCCTCCCAAAGTGCTGGGATTACAGGCGTGAGCCAGTGCGCCCGGCAGGTTAACATTCTTGATGCCAACCACCTATTCACACCAGGGAAGGGAAGGGAAGGAAACAAGGGAACCCGAAAAGCAGCAGAAGAGAAGGGAAGGGAAGTGAACCGGAAGGGAAGGGAAGGGAGGGAAGGAGAAGAGGGGAGTGGACGGGAAGGGGGAAGGAGGAAGGGAAGCACCGGGGAAGGGAAAGGGAAAGGGGGAGGGAAGAAGGGGAAGGGAACCGGGAAGGGAAGCAGAACGGAGAGTGGATGGAAGGTGAAGGGGACCACCGGGGAAGGGAAGCAGAAGGGGGGAGTGGATGGAAGGTGAAGGGAAGTACCAGGGAACGGAAAGGGGAGGGGAAGGGGAAGGAGACGACCGGGGAAGGGAAAGGCAGGGGAAGGGAACAGGGAAGGGAAGCAGCGAGGAGTGGACCCAAGGTGAAGGTGACCACCAGGGAAAAGGAAGGGAAGGGAAGCAGAAGGGGGGAGTGGACAGAAGGCGAAGGGGACCACCGGGGAAGGGAAAGGCAGGGGAAAGGAACCGGGAAGGGAAGGGAAGCGGAAGGGGGGAGTGGACGGAAGGTGAAGGGAAGTACCAGGGAACGGAAAGGGGAGGGGAAGGGAAAGGCAGGGGAAGGGAACAGGGAAGGGAAGCAGAAGGGAAGGGAAAGGCTGGAACTGTCGATGCAGTCTATTCTCTGGGTGGGTCACGGTGCTAACCCTTTTCAGGAAGGTCTCGTCTAACCCTCCCAGTGACTGTGAGGTGAGTCCTGTTAGGGCCTTGACTTTGCAGATGAAGAAAGAGGCTGGTGGGGGGTTGGGAGGGTTACACCATTTCCGCCGGAGGTGCGGCTGGTCTGGGGTGAAGCTGGAGTTAACCCGAGCACAGCTCGACTCCAGGAGTCAGTTTCAGGGCCTCTTCCTTTGAGACAGGGTTTTCTCATCGGCAGGCGGCCCTCTGCCTGCTTCCTGGGGCTGCTGGAGGCTGGCAGGCCACATCAGCCTAGGAAAGGGACTCCACCTCTCTACCTCGACGATGCAGGGGAGCAGCAGGCACGAGGCCCCAGGGACCGTCTCGGAGGGAGGGTCCCGGGCCCTGGGCTGAGAAAGCAGGGGTGGAGGGCTCTGTGCAGAGACCCTAGGCTGGGAGGGGACTCACCAAGCGTGGTGCTGGAGAAGGTGGAGCCATGGATGCCTGTGTGTCTGCCCAGCTCTGTCCTGGCCACCCCAGGGTGCAGGGCATTGACAGTCACGCCAGAGCCTGGGGAAAAAAGAGATGACTGAGAGAGGGGTCCTTACCTGGAAGGCTGTGGCAGCCCACACTCGGCTCTGGGGCTTCCTATACTCAAACCCCCATCGTCCCTCTTGCGCTGAAACCTTAGTAAGGTGGCCTTATCTTGCAGGGCAGCCCTGCCACATGGCGCCTGGGAGCAGAGCTTTCCTGGAGGGCTTGATAACCCAGAATACTGGGCTCACTCAGGAGTCTGAATCGGTGGGTGGGGCTGGGATCTGAAATCCGGCTACTCAGACCAGCTCCCAGTGGGGTTGGCACTGCTGGTCCACAGGCCATCTCTCAGAGGCAAGGGCGCAGGGCAGATGTCTCAGCCTCGGCAATGTGGACAGTGTGGGCCGGGAAGGGTGAGGGGCTGTCCCGTGTGCTGCAGGACACTGAACAGCATCTGGGCCTTTACCCTCCAAATGCCCAGAGCAATCTCTCCCCGGCCCACCTGTGGTTACTGTGTCTCCAGGCACTGACAATCCCAGGCCAAAAGTGCTCCTGGTTGAGACTCACTGGCTGCCCAGAATACTGGGCTCACTCAGGAGTCTGAATCGGTGGGTGGGGCTGGGATCTGAAATCCGGCTACTCAGACCAGCTCCCAGTGGGGTTGGCACTGCTGGTCCACAGGCCATCTCTCAGAGGCAAGGGCGCAGGGCAGATGTCTCAGCCTCGGCAATGTGGACAGTGTGGGCCGGGAAGGGTGAGGGGCTGTCCCGTGTGCTGCAGGACACTGAACAGCATCTGGGCCTTTACCCTCCAAATGCCCAGAGCAATCTCTCCCCGGCCCACCTGTGGTTACTGTGTCTCCAGGCACTGACAATCCCAGGCCAAAAGTGCTCCTGGTTGAGACTCACTGGCTGGAGCCAAAAGGCTAAGCTGCCTACCGGACAGCAGCAGGGAAGAACTGACGCAGGCAGACTAGACGGCCTGGGATGAATGAACAATCATCACAACTATCGATTAGTGATGTCTGCTTCAGGCACCAGAAGCGGGCAGGGTGGTCCCTGTGCTCTACTTTAGCCCACTCTGTTCTGGGGCCCCAGCTTGGCCTCCCCTCAGCCCAGGATCACAGAAAGGCTGCTCTAGGCTCAAAGTAAAGAGGGAGGCCGAGCCTAGCGCCCCGTACCTTGCAGCCGCCGGCTCAGCTCCTTGGTGAAGAGGACGATGGCCAGCTTGCTCTGGCTGTAGGCGGCTTTGGGGTCATACTTCCTCGTCTGCCAGTTCAAGTCATCAAAGTCTATGTGCCCAGCAATGTGGGCCAAGGACGAGAGGTTGATGATCCGTGAAGGGGCTGAGGCTTTCAGCTTGTCCAGCAGTAAGTTTGTCAAGAGAAAGTGACCTGGGTTAAAGGATGGCAAAAAGGTCACCTTTGATCGGGCACGGTGGCTTACGCCTATAATCGCAGCACTTTGGGAGGACGAGGAGGAGGATGGTTTGAGCCCACGGTGTAGCCCCCTGCCCAGGCCTCACCCAGGTGGTTCACGCCAAACTGCATCTCAAAGCCGTCCTCCGTGGTCCAGTGGGGGCACCGCATCACGGCCGCGTTGTTGACTAGAATGTCGACTCGCTCCTCCTCTGGAAGAGAGGCGTGGGGAAGGAGACCACAAGGTGAGCACAGACCCCAGCCTGAGGCACAGCAGAAACATTCCTGTGCTTCCGGAGCCCATGAAGGTGGCCCCCTGCTGGAAACGGTCTGTGCAGAAGTAGCCACATCAGGATGAGGTCATTAGGGTGAGCCCTAATCCAATGACTGGTGTCCGGCTTGGTTTTGTTTTTTGAGACAGAGTTTCCCTCTTGTCACCGGTGCCTGTAATCCCAGCTACTCAGGAGGCTGAGGCAGGAGAATCACTTGAACCTGGGAGGAGGACGTTCATAGCTGAGATTATGGGCACGTGCCACCACACCCAGCTAATTTTTTTATTTTTGGTAGCCATGGGGTTTCACCATGTTGGTCAGGCTGGTCTCAAATTCCTGACCTCAGGTGATCTGCCCACCTCGGCCTCCCAATGTGCTGGGATTACAGCTGTGAGCCACAGCACCTGGCCTGGTGTCCTTATAGGAAGGGAAAACAGACACACTCGGAGGGAAGGCCACCTGTGGACGGCGGCGGGGACAGGAGAGGCACAGCTCCCAGATGAGGGTGGGTGACTGCACTGGAAGTGGAAGAGGCTGGGAGGATTACGGCCCAGCTCACAGGAACACAGCCCCAGGGACACCCAGATTCCAACTGCTGGCTTCCAGAACGGTGAGGGAATGCACTTCCGAGGGTGGAAGCCCCTGGGTTTGTGGTGCATGGTTCCAGCAGCCCCAGGACACACACACACACCCTCCACACCCCCACCGAAGACTTGGGACTCTTTCCGGCAGGAGCCCCAGCACTGCAGGTTCTCAGGTGCTGGTTTCATTCCCAAACCTGCCACCTCACTCGGACAAGCAACCACAGGGCCTTCCTCGCTGTGCCACTGGGCTCCGGTTCCATAACAAAGTGCCCCAGGAAGGTGAGTTAAAATCTCACAGACCTGGCCGGGCACGGTGGATCACCTGAGGTCAGGAGTTTTGAGACCAGCCTGGCCAACATGGTGAAACTGCGTCTCTACCAAAAATACATAATTAGCCTGGCATGGTGGCACACGCCTCTGATCGCAGCTACTCCAGAGGCTGAGGCAGGAAAATCGCTTGAACCCAGAAGGCAGAGGCTGCAGTGAGCCAAGACTGCACCACTGCACTCCACCCTCAGTGACAGAGTGAGATTCTGTCTCCAGAAAAATAAAAACGTTACATCCACCTCTGAGACTCTGAGGCATTTGTGATCTTACCACAGCGCCTCTCACCTACTCCACAACATCCACAACAACATCCACGACAACGCGGCTCCCTCTTGATCCCCAAGGGCACAGCAGGGACTCAATACGTGTGAATGAGTGAGCACCAGTGCCTGCCTCCCTATGGCTGAGTGGCACAAGGACAGCTCTGGTTCATCTCACACCTCCAGCACCTGGGTCAGGTCTCAGATCACATTTGCTAAATGATGAGGTTCCACAACACCCCATTCTTTGTCCATTATCTGAGCGCCCGTTTACTGAGCGGGGCACATTGACTCTGAACAAGAAAGCTTGGCCCTTTCCAGTGCCAGACGAGAAAAGAGACAAAGCGGCCGCGCACGGTGCTCACGCCTGTAATCGACCAGCCTGGCCAACACCGCGAAACCCCATCTCTACTAAAAATACAAAAATTGGCTGCGCGTGGTGGTGGGTGCCTGTGATCCCAGCTACTCGGAAGGCTGAGGTGGGAGAATTGCTTAAACCCAAGAGGTGGACATTGCAGTGAGCGGAGATCGCACCACTGCATTCTAGCCTGGACAACAGCCAAACTCCATCTCAAAAATAAAATAATAAATAATGTTTAATGTATTCTTGAGCCTATTTAAGATAAACAAGAATAGAAAAGCTATACGGTCACTGGTATTGAACTCCTGACCTCAAGTGATCCACCAACCTCAGCCTTCCAAAATGCTGGGATTACAAGCATGAGCCACCGTGTCCAACCAGTTCTGTCTATTTTACGCTGCAGTATTTTATAAAGGTCCCATAACAAACGCTTATTTCTTTAACCATGGTGGGGAAGACACTTGATCCATAAGCACTTAATAAAGCCGGGTGCAATGGCTCAAGCCTGTAATCCCAGCAATTTGGAAGGCCAATTTGGGTGGATCACTTGAGCCCAGGAGTTTGAGACCAGTCTGAGCAGCATGGTGAAACCCCAGCTCTACAAAAAAAAAAAAAATTAGCTGTGTGTGGTGGCATAAGCCTGTACACCCAGTTACCTGGGAGGCTGAAGTGGGAGGATCACTTGAGCCCAGCAGGTTGAGACCGCAGTGAGCCATGACTGCAGCTCCAGCCTGGGTGACAGAGACAGACCCTGTCTCAAAAAAAACTCATTATTCAGACCAGGTACGGTGGTTCATGCCTGAAATCCCAGCACTTTGGGAGGCCAAAGCAGGAGGACCACCTGAGGTCAGGAATTTGAGACCGTCCTGACCAACACGGTGAAATCCCATCTCTACTAAAAATATAAAAAATTAGCTACGCGTGGTGGCACATAACTGTAATCCCAGCCACTCGGAAGGCTGAGGCAGGAGAATCACTTGAACCCAGGAGGCAGAGGTTGCAGTGAGCTGAGATCATGCCATTGCACTCCAGCCTGGGCGACAGAACAAGATTCTGTCTCAAAAATAAAAATAGCCGGGCGCGGTGGCTCACACCTGTAATCCTAGCACTTTAGGAGGCCGAGGTAGGTGGATCACCTGAGGTCAGGAGTTCAAGACCAGCCTGGCCATCATGGTGAAATCCCATCTTTTAAAATAAATAAAAAATAAAAATAAAGTCATAGCTTGCAGGCTGTACCAAAAAAAAAAAAAAAAAAAAAAAAGGGCAGTCTCTGGATTTGGCCCCTGGACCATAGTTCACCAAAACTAAGCTCTAAAGCTTACTTGGTTCGCTCACTCCTCAGCCTGCCCCGGGAGCCACCCATCCCAGACCTCGTAGCACAAGGCCAGCGTTGTCCTACCTTCATTGATCTTCGCTGCAAACTCTCGGATGGACTTGAGGGAGGCCAGGTCCAGGTGCCGGGCATTCACGTGGTGATTGAGGGTCTCCCGGCGGATGGCCCTGGCCGCCGCCTCACACTTCTCCATGTCTCGGCAAGCCAGGATGACGTTGCCTCCTGAAAACCCAGGAGAGAAAAAGGTTTACATTAATAACCCACTCCTAGATACTGACCCCGGAGAAATCAAAACATTTCTACACAAAACACGTCTACACAAAAGCACATGCACCAATGTTCATGTGGCAGTCTTCACAGAAGCCAGAAGGGAGAAACAAATGTCCATCCATGGATAAAGGGATAACAACGTGGTCCCTCCAGACGGGGTGGAATATTACACAGCTGTGAAAAGGAGTGGGGCACGGACTCGGGCTACAGCAAGGAAGATCTCAGAAACTCTGCTCGGGAGGAGAAACCAGACCCAGAAGACCACATAGTGGACAATCCCATTTACAGGAATTCTGTTCACATGATTTCACGCATATGAAATGCCCAGAATACACAAATCCACAGAAAAAGAAAATAGATTATTGGTTTCCTAGGGCTGGGGGAAGAAGGAATTGCAGCTTGGTAGGTAAAGCAAGCAATGTTTCTTTCTAGAGTAACAGAAATGTTCTAGGGTTGATCTTAAAGATGGTTGCATCGCTCTGTGACTATACTAAACATCATTGAACTGGCTGGACACGGTGGCTCACACCTGTCATCCCAGCACTTTGGGAGGCTGAGGCAAGAGGGCTGTTTTTCCTTTTTTTTTCTCGAGACGGGGTCTCTCTCTCTCTTGTCCAGGCTGGAGTGCAGTGGTGCGATCTCGGCTCACTGCAACCTCCACCTCCAGGGTTCAAGTGATTCTCCTGCCTTAGCATTCTAAGTAGCTGGGGTTACAGGTGCCTGCCACCTCACCCAGCTAATTTTTTTTTGTATTTTAAGTAGAGAGAGAGGGGTTTCACCATGTTAGCCAAGCTAGTCTCAAACTCCTGACCTCAGGTGATCAGCTCCTCAGCCTCCCAAACTGCTTTAGTTACAAATAACCCACAGCACCTGGCCTCCAGTGTTTTTTTTGTTGTGGTAAAATGACACATCACTCCGGGCGCGGTGGCTCAAGCCTGTAATCCCAGCACTTTGGGAGGCCGAGGCGGGTGGAACACGAGGTCGAGAGATCGAGACCATCCTGGTCAACATGGTGAAACCCCATCTCTACTAAAAATACAAAAAATTAGCTGGGCATGGTGGCGCGTGCCTATAATCCCAGCTACTCAGGAGGCTGAGGCAGGAGAATTGCCTGAACCCGGGAGGCGGAGGTTGCGGTGAGCCGAGATCGCGCCATTGCACTCCAGCCTGGGTAACAAGAGTGAAACTCCGTCTCAAAAAAAAAAAAACACACACATCACTTAAAATTTACTGTTTTCATGCTTTTTTTTTTTTTGGCATCAGAGTCACACTCTGCTGCCCAGGATGGAGTGCAGTGGCACCATCATAGCTCATTCATCCCTGAAGTCCTGGGCTCAAGTGACCTGGGACTACAGGCACCACCTGTGCCAGCACGCCTGGCTGAGTTTTTGGGGGGCAGAGAGATGGGGTCTTGCTATGCTGTCCAGACTGGTCTGGAACTCCTGGCCTCAAGTGATTCTCCCACCTGAGCCTCCAAAAGTGCTGGAATTATAGATATCAGCCACCTTAACCATTTTTATGTATCCAGTTCATTGGTAGTAAAAACATTCGTGGCCGGGTGAGGTGGCTCAGGCTTGTAATCCCAGCACTTCAGGAGGCCAAGGCAGGTGGATCACCTGAGGTCAGGAGTTTGACACCAGCCTAACCAACATGGAGAAACCCCATCTCTACTAAAAATACAAAATTAGCTGGGTGTGGTGGTGCATGCCTATAATCCCAGCTACTTGGGAACCTGAGAGGCAGAGGTTGCAGCAAGCTGAAATGGTGCCACTGTACTCCAGCCTGGGCAACAAGAGCAAAACTCCATCTCAAAAAAAAAAAAAAAAAAAAAAATCATAATATACAACCAATACAACTACCCATCTCTAGAACATTTTCATCTTCCCAAACTAAAATTCTGTACCAATTAAACAATAACTCCCCATTCTCCCCTCCCCACCCCTGGCAAGCACCATTCAAACTTCTCTATGAATTTAACTCTAGGTAGCTCATATAAATGGAATCATACAGTATTTGCTCTTCTGCGGAATGGCTTATTTCACTTAGTGTCATGTCCTCAAGTTCATCTGTTAGAATGCCCTTCCGGCCAGGCACGGTGGCTCACACCTGTAATCCCTGCACTTTGGGAGGCCGAGGCCAGTGGATCACCTGAAGTCGGGAGTTCGAGACCAGCCTGATCAACATGGAGAAACCCTGTCTCTACTAAAAATACAAAATTAGCCAGGCGTGGTGACACATGTCTGCAGTCCCAGCTACTCGGGAGGCAGAGGCAGGAGAAATCACTCGAACCCGGGAGGCGGAGGTTGTGGTGAGCCGAGGTGACGCCACTGCATTCCAGCCTGGGCAACAAGAGCAAAACTCCGCTGCAAAAAAAAAAAAAAAAATGCCTTTCCTTTTGAAGGCTGAATCATGTTCCACTGTCTGCAGACGCCACATTGTGTTTCTCTGTTCATCTGTGAGTGGGTGCCTGGGTTGCTGGACTGTAAATCATGCTGCATGGGTGTGCAAATCTCTCTCCCACAGCCAAAGCAGGGGAGATTTTACCTCTTTTGGCCAGTTCAAAGGCGGTCTGCTTCCCTATGCCTGTGTTGGCACCCGTCACAATGACCGTCTTCCCAGGAATGGTGGCCTTGCTGGGGCAAACCCCACCGGCAACACTGTCCCTGAGGGCGGGAAGGGGCACAGTCAGTCCTGTCTGCCAACTCTCACCCCACGTGCCCCTGACTGAGTGATCTCAGACAAACCTATATGAGCTCACTCCCATCCCCCAGCTGAAAAACAGACGTCATCACATCACACAGTTGGTCAGGCTGGTCTCGAACTCCCGACCTCAGGTGATCTGCCTGCCTCAGCCTCCCAAAGTGCTGGGATTACAGGTGTGAGCCACTGCACCCAGTGACATGGTTATTTTATAAACGCCTACTGCATGAGATTCCCAGCCAGACAAGTAATCCCAGCACTCTGGGAGTCAGAGGCAGGCAGATCACTTGAGGTCAGGAGTTCAAGACCAGCCTGGCAAACACAGTGAGACGCAGTCTCTACTAAAAATACAAAAATTGGCCAGGCATGGTGGAGGGCACCTGTAATCCCAGCTACTCGGGAGGCTGAGGCACAACCAGAAAGCGGAGGCTGCAGGGAGTTGAAATGTCGCCAGCCTGAGTGACAGAGTAAGACTCCACCTCAAGAATCTTAAAAATTAAAATGCCCACTGCATGAGATTCCCATGGCTGCTGTGTGCACTACCACAAACTCAGTGACTTAAAACCACATAAATGCATTCTCCTACAGTTCTGCCGGTCAAGAGTCCAAAACAGGTCTCACTGCAGTAAATCAAAGAATTGGCAGAGTCACGTCCCTGCTGGAGGTTCTAGGGGAGAATCCATTTCCAGCTCCTACAGGCTGTGACATCCCTCCACTCTTGGCCCACCTCCATCTTCAAATTGATCATCCCTGGAACCTCTCCTTCTGGCTTCCACCTGACCTCTGACTGAGCCTCCTGCTCCCTCACATAAGGACCCTGTAAGACTACAAGGCAGGCCGTGCACGGTGGCTCACGCCTATAATCCCAGCACTTTGGGAGGATGAGGTGGGAGGATCGCTTGAGGTCCGGAGTTCGAGACCAGCCATGGCCAGCATGCTGACAGCCCATTTCTACTAAAAATACAAAAACTGAAGTCCAGGCGCGGTGGCTCAAGCCTGTAATCCCAACACTTTGGGAAGCCGAGGCGGGTGGATCACGAGGTCGAGAGATCGAGACCATCCTGGTCAACATAGTGAAACCCCGTCTCTATTAAAAATACAAAAAATTAGCTGGGCACAGTGGCACGTGCCTGTAATCCCAGCTACTCAGGAGGCTGAGGCAGGAGAATTGCCTGAACCCAGGAGGTGGAGGTTGCGGTGAGCCAAGACTGTGCCATTGCATTCCAGCCCGGGTAACGAGAGAAACTCCGTCTCAAAAAAAAAAAAAAAAATACAAAAATTGGACCAGGTTCAGTGGCTCACGACTGTAATCCCAGCACTTTGGGAGGCCAAAGCCAGTGGATCACCTCAGGTCAGGAGTTGAGGGCCAGCCTGGCCAACACGGTATATACCCTGTCTCTACTAAATATACAAAAATTAGCTGGGCGTGGTGGTGGGTGCCTGTAATCTCAGTTACTCGAGAGGCTGAGGCAGGAGAATTGCTTGAACTCGGAAGGTAGAAGTTGCAGTTAGCTGAGACCGCGCCACTGCACTCCAGCCTGGGCAACAAAAGCAAAACTTCATCTAAAAAAATAATTAGCAGGGCACAGTGGTGCACATTCGCAGACTCAGCTATTCGGGAGGCTGAGGTAGGAGGATCACCTGAGCCCAGGGAGGTTGAGGCTGCAGTGAGCTGTGACAGCAGGACTGCATTCCAGCCTGGGCGCCAGAGAGACCCTGTTTCAAAAGAAAGAAAAAAAAAGCCTACATGATAATCATAAGATCTTTCACTAACACATCAGCAAGACCCTCTGACGCTCGAGGTAATGCAGTCACGCATTGCAGGACTGGGACGTGGCCACCTCTCAGGAGCCATGACTCTGCCCACCACACCCATGTCCCACAGAGGCTAATGCTGGAAACACACAATGTCCAGCAACAGGAGGCTGAGCAGATCAGCAGCACAGCCCACAGGAGAGAGAAACTCCAGGACATACGGTGGCCACCAGCCACTGAGGCTTATTTTTATTTTTTTTGTTTTTTTGAGACGGAGTTTCGCTCTTGTTACCCAGGCTGGAGTGCAATGGCGCGATCTCGGCTCACCGCAACCTCCGCCTCCTGGGTTCAGGCAATTCTCCTGCCTCGGCCTCCTGAGTAGCTGGGATTACGGGCACGCGCCACCATGCCCAGCTAATTTTTTGTATTTTTAGTAGAGACGGGGTTTCACCATGTTGACCAGGATGGTCTCGATCTCTTGACCTCGTGATCCACCCGCCTCGGCCTCCTAAAGTGCTGAGATTACAGGTGTGAGCCGCCGCGCCCGGCCTGGCTTATTTTTAAATAACTTTAAGGCCCTGGCCGGGCGCGGTGGCCCACGCCTGTAATCCCAGCACTTTGGGAGGCCATGGCAGGCGAATCACAAGGTCAGGAGTTGAAGATCAGCCTGGCCAACATGGTAAAACGCCGTCTGTAGTGAAAATACAAAAATCAGCCAGGCGTCGTGGCACAGGCCTGTAGTCCCAGCTATTCAGGGGGCTGAGGCAGGAGAATCGCTTTAACCTGGGAGGGTCGGAGGTTGCAATGACCGTTGATCACGCCACTGGACTCCAACCTGGGTGACAGAGCAAGACTCCGTCTCAAAAAAAAAAACAAAAAAAAACAAAAAAAAAAACACAAATTAGCCGGGCGTGGTGGCACGCCTGTGGTCTCAGCTCCTGGGGACGCTAAGGTGGGAGGATCACCTGAATCCAGGTGGTCAAAGCTGCCGAGATAGCGTCACTGCACTCCAGCCTGGGTGACAGAGCCAGATTCTGCCTCTAAAACTAAATGAATAAACAAATAATAAATAAGAGTTTAAAAGTCTGCAAGGAAAGCAACATTTACAAGGGCCCAGGCTAGCCCTTCCCTCCGCGTGACCTTGGGCCGTGACCCGGCCGGCCCGAGCGCAGGTGTGCCCCACTCCCGGCAGGCAGCGCGGGTCGGGAGCCGCGGGGGCTGGACCCGGGTGCGAGGGGCGGGGGTCTCCGCCGCCCTCCCTTCCCCTGCGCTGGGGGCCCACCGTCACCGCGCACGCGGGGCTAGAATGTACTCACTTGAGCAGCACGGCGCCGCCTACTACGGTGCCCAGCGCCGACAGCGGCAGCAGGTAGCGGTTCATGCCGGGCCGGGGACGGGTCTCGGCGGTCAGAGCCGAGCCGACTGCAGACCCGCCGCGCCGGCAGCTCCCGGAAGAACGCGCGACGCAGCCACGCACACGAGAAAGCGCAGGCGCGTTGGGGTCCGCGGGTTCCGGAACTGGGTTGCGAGGGGCGTGGCAAGGGCAGAGGGGGCGGGGATCCCAGGGGCGGAACCTATGCGCATGGGCCCTGAGCGCAGTCACAGCTGGGAGTGGCGGTTTCAGAAGCATGTGGGCGTGGCCGTGCCCGAGGGCGGGGCCTGAGGTTCGTTCGAATGACGTCACACTTGCCGTTTCGTTTAAGGCGCTGCGCAGCTCTGGAATGACCCAGGTTCGAATCCCACCACTGTTAACTGAGGACTGCGACTCTCTGTGTGTCTTTCAAATATGTCAGCCTATTTCCTCATCTGGAAATGCGTGCTTACCTTCTTCATAGACTTTGGGGGATAATTTGGGAATTTCCATGCTCAGAAACAAGGATCTAGTAGCCTGTGAGTACCCAAGCTTCTGGGGCGCCTCTGGTCCTGGACTCCTGGTCTGAGGGAGTTGAGGACTGGGGCCTGGACTCCTGAGTCTGAAGGAAGAGGAGCTGGAGTCCTGGACTTCTGGGTCCAAGGGAGGAGAGGCTAGGTGTCAGGACTTCTGGGCCTGAGGGAGGAGGGGCTGAGGGCCTGATTGATTCCCAGATTCTCAGAATCTCATCCCAATGTCTGAGCCTGTACAGAGATGTCTTCCTGAACTCTGCCTGAACTTTTTTTTTTTAATGGAATTTCCCTTTTGTGGCCAAGGCTGGAGTGCAATGGTGCGATCTCGGCTCATTGCACCTGCCAGCTCCCGGGTTCGAGTGATTCTCCTGCCTCAGCCTCCTGAATAGTGAGGATTACAGGCATGCGCCACCACACCCGACTAATTTTGTATTTTTAGTAGAGACAGGGTTTCTCCGTACTTGTGAGCTTGGTCTCGAACTCCCGACCTCAGGTGATCCGCCTACCTCGGCTTCCCAAAGTGCTGGGATTACAGGCATGAGCCACAGTGCCCAGCTGAACTACCTTTCTTTGACTGAGTATCTCCGACACTCCCGCACTTACCTGTCCATGTTTGTTACCCCCACCAAACCGGGATGCACCTGTGGGCACCTGCTTTCCCTTACACTGCTCTGAGCAGGCATATCTGATCACCACCTCCTACCCCCGACAGTGTCTGAGGCCCCAGAAGGAGATGCCGCTGGAGACGGAAGAATTCAACCCAAGTCGCTCTGACTGGGAGTGAGTTTTCTTCCCCCTCATATGAACTGTCATCTTCTTACAGGAGTCCTGCCGTGATGGAGGTTACTCAGGCAGAAAGAGCTATTTTAAGACCTTAGTCCTATAGTCCTTAAGCTCTCACCACCTCAAACAAAAATTAAACCCGTTACATGATGACAAATACGGTATGATTTCACTTCTATAAGGCACTTGGAGGAGTCAAATTCACAGAGACAGAAAATAGAGCGGTAGTTTCCAGGGACTGGTGATGAGATTGGGAAGTGGTAGGTTTTTGCTGCTGCTGTTGTCTTGAGATAGAGTCTCGCTGTGTCGCCCAGGCTGGAGTGCAGCGGCACAATCTCAGCTCACTGCAAACTCCACCTCCAGGGTTCAAGCGATTCTCCTACCTCAGCCTCCGAGTGGTGGGATTACAGGAGCACACCACCACACCTGGCTAATTTTTGTATTTTTAGTAGAGATGGCGTTTCACCATGTTGGCCAGGCTGCTCTCAAACGCCTGACCTCAGGTGATCTGCCCACCTCAGCCTCCCAAAGTGCTAGGATTACAGACGTGAGCCACTGTGGCTGGCCCCCTGTGATTGAATTTGGAAGGATGACATTAAGTCATCCATAACAAGGACTTAATCTGTAGTAAGTGACAGAACGTTGCTGGCTGTTAACACTGTTATCACAAAGAGAACAATGCGTGCCAATTTGTCCTCTGAGGACCTCCTCCTACCTGATTCCCAGACACACCCAAGGGAGTTAGAACATCTATTTGGACTCCCGTGGGCTGTCCACCCCTTTACCATTTTTCTCGTTGTTAACAAGTTCCTGATCAGCATTGGGTGCTGTCCCAGGTGCTGAGAGGATTCTCCCACAATGCCCTTTGCTTTCCGCATCAGAGGGTTTATGGCAGCCGGTTCTCATTCATTCTCTCTGTCCTTTCTCACTCTTCTTTCTCCCTGTTCCTCTCTCTCCCTCTCTCTCTCTCCGCCTCTCTTTTCCTCTCACTTCTCTTTCCCTTTCGCCCTCTATCTCATCTCTCTCCCCATCTCTGCCTTCCTCTCTTTCTCTCTCCTTTCTTCCTCTCTCTTCTTGTCTCTCCTCTCTCTCTCCCTCTCCCCCCAACTCTCTCTCCCTACACCCATCTTGAGAGCCCTTAGCAGTGTAAGATGAGTGTAGCTACCCCAAAGTTCTGTTGAGATAATGATAGGGGCCAAGGAGCTCCAACTGTCCCAGACTCCAGCTGGCACCTTCCAGCTTCTTCCCAAGCCATCACCAAAGGGCACACAGATAAGCAACTGCCACCAAGCCCTGTGCAGACAGTAGATTCTTGAGCAAAATAAATATGGTCCTTGTCTGAAGCCACTGGGTTTTACAATAATTTGTTACATGCCTGTAGTAACTAGAATGATTTCTCCGGGTTTTTTAACTTTTATTTTTTGAGATGGAGTTTTGTTCTTGTCACCCAGGCTGGAGTGCAGTGGTACCATCTCAGCTCACTGCAACCTCTGCCTCCCAGGTTCGAGTGATTCTCCTGCCTCAGCCTCATGAGTAGCTGGGATTACAGGCGCCCACCACCACGCCCGGCTAATTTTTTGTATTCTTAGTAGAGACAGGGTTTCTCCATGTTGGCCAAGATGGTCTCAATATCTTGACCTCATGATCTGCCCAACTCAGCCTCCCAAAGTGCTGGGATTCCAGGCGTGAGCCACCGCGCCGGCCCCCAAGCCCTGGGCTAATCACTCTCCTTGCCTCGTTGCACCAACCCTCCTACCAGGCCTTCACACACGTACTAGGATTTATGCCCATTTGAAAGAGGAAGACACTTGGCCGGGCGCGGTGGCTCATGCCTAGAATCCCAGCATTTTGGGAGGCTGAGGTGGGCGGATCACGAGGTCAGGAGTTCAAGACCAGCCTGGCCAACATAGTGAAATCCCATCTCTACTAAAAATACAATAATTAGCCAGGCATGGTGGCGTGCACCTGTAGTCCCAGCTACTCAGGAAGCTGAGGCAGGAGAATCACTTGAACTCGTGAGGCGGAGGTTGCAGTAAGCTGAGATCGATCCCACTATTGCACTCCAGCCTGGGTGAGAGAGAGAGATTCTGTCTCAAAAAAAGAGGAATGACTCACACCTGTAATCCCAACACTTTGAGAGGCCGAGGTGGGCAGATCACGAGGTCAAGAGATCGAGACCATCCTGGACAACATGGTGAAACCCCGTCTCTACTAAAAATACAAAAATTAGCTGGGCATTGTGGCAGGTGCCTGTAGTCCCAGCTACGAAGGAGTCTGAGGCAGGAGAATCCTCCTGGCTGAACCCAGGAGGTGGAGGTTGCGGTGAGCCGAGATCGTGCTACTGCACTTTAGTGACCTAGTGGCGGAGCAAGACTCAGTCTCAAAAAAGAAAATGTGAGGGCGGGCGCGGTGGCTCAAGCCTGTAATCCCAGCTCTTTGGGAGGCCGAGGCGGGTGGATCACAAGGTCAAGAGATCGAGACCATCCTGGTCAACATGGTGAAACCCCGTCTCTACTAAAAATACAAAAAATTAGCTGGGCATGGTGGCGCGTGCCTGTAATCCCAGCTACTCAGGAGGCTGAGGCAGGAGAATTGCCTGAACCCAGGAGGCGGAGGTTGCGGTGAGCCGAGATCGCGCCATTGCACTCCAGCCTCCAGCCTGGGTAACAAGAGTGAAACTCTGTCTCAAAAAAAAAAAAAAAAAAGAAAAGAAAATGTGTTCCAGCTGAGGAACAAACGAAAAGTAAAAAAAAAAAAAAAGAAGAAAAAGAAGAAAATATGGCACATATACAATATGGAATATTACACAGCCATAAAAAACGATGAGTTCGTGTCCTTTGTAAGGACTTGGATGAATCTGGAAACCATCATTCGCAGCAAACTGACATAAGAACAAAAAACCAAACACCACATGTCCTCACTCACAGGCGGGTGTTGAACAATGAGAACACGTGGATTCAGGGAGAGGAGCGTCACACACTGGGGGCAGTTAGGGGGGCGGCTAGGGGAGAGACAGTGGGGGGTGGGAAGGGTGGGGAGGGATAACGGGGGGGGGGGAGAAATGCCGGATATAGTATGCACCTATGCAACAACGCTGCATGACCTGCACATGTACCCCAGAACCTAAAGTAAAATAAAATTAAAAAGAAAAACAAAAGAAAGAGGAAGACCCTGCAGTTCAGGGAGCGGAGAGTGAAGTCACCGGCTCCAACCCAGGATCCAAAGTCAAGTCTGTCTGGGGTCCTGTCCCCGTCACCGCTCCCTTGACCCAGTCCCCACAGACCCGGGAAGGAGCCCGGCTCCTCCAGTTTCAGGACAGAGCTGCCCAAACCGCCCTGCCGGGATCCCTCCCAGAGAACAAACAGCTCCCGCCCGCCGCCAGCCTCCCTCCTCCACCGCCTCCTCCTCCTCCTGCCAGGCCGGTTCCCAGACCCACCCTCCCTCTCCCCGCACCCTCGCCAGGGCTGGCTGGTCTCACAGGAACGCCTAGGAAAACGCACCCAAACCCCTTTGAGTTAGGAAGGGGACCCGCCTGAGATTCCTGGACACTGCCGATGAGAACTCTCTCATCGCAGTTAGAGCCGCCTGCGTTTTCCTGGCCTCCCCAAACAGACTGGGAACCCTAGAAACTGAGGCCTGGGCCAGCCCATTAGAGTCAGCACTCGGCCACCCTCCCGGCAGCTGCTGTCAGCCTGTCACCATCAGCGTGACTGTCACACACCTCACTTCCTGCGGCCAGCCGCACCCCTGCAGATTTAACCCGCCAGCCTCCCCAAGATCTCCTCTGCCTGAAGTCCTCTCCGCATTCCTGGCATATTCTCCAAATTCGGGTCAAAGCTCAGATGCC